GGTGTGGGTACAAATTACGTATTTGATATCTCTGATTTGATTCTACTGAGTTTAACAGCCCTGTTGCCGCTTTTGCTGCAGAAAAGACGAAACAAATCCTTTACTAGAGCCGTTATCACGGTAACGAGCGAGCGGACGAGTCTATTTTAAAATGGTAGGAAATATCTCGGGGTTGAACCTTGGTCTGTCCTTGGTCCTAAATTCAGTATTTTTTCTAAAAACGTCCAGAGGGGTGGCAGACATGATTTTCACAGGGAGGCCCCGCCATTTTAGGTTACGCCACTGGTTCTACATGAAAATATGTTTACGCAATGTAATACAAAACATTCCTTGGGTTTCTTCTTACAAATTTTCACAAGACTTCATGACATTGATTATAAAACAAAAAATACTTTTACCAAACATAACAATATCGGGTTTTATTGGATGTTATCCTCATACACGCCTTTTAAATTGTTTTCACCAATATAGTAAGTAGTACTGCATGACCAATCAGAGTCACCAATATTGAAAAATGAGTATAGGATTGTTAAAGAAATTTAGGATAAATTACTCTTGTCATTATTACTAAATAAACTAATTCATCATTAAAATAATATTCTTAGGTTTCATGCGATAAAACTACTAAAGATTCTTGCTACAGTGTGGTAGCCAGGGCCGCTATACCCGTGGCGCGGTTGCGCCAAGGTCCCAAGCAGTGAGGGACCTATACTGACGATCCTACCATCAGTTTAACTCTATTTTTTCGATAAATCTTCATATTTTATCTGTTGTTTGTTCTATTCTTACTCAATGCAAACTAGGTCAAGTTGACCGACCTCGTAACCACCGTAAAAAAAATTATTTTTTTCTTTCGAGAATTACTTCAAATTGTAGTAGGAAACAATATTTCTTTACACTAAATAGTTGAAAACTTCTTAACCTTATACAGTTGTTTATAATTAAATGTTATTGTGTTATTGCCTTTTGGAACGTGACAGAAACTGTGGATTCAAAGTTAAACAATGATTTAGAAAATGAAATACGATATTGGCGGGAGGTAGTGCGTCGAGTTATTGAATGTCTAAAATCTTGTGTGAAAGAGGATTAGCACTTAGAGGAGATAGAGAGGAAATTGAAGATTTCAACAATGGCAACTTTTTAGCTGCATTAGAATTTACAGCTAAATTCGATCCATTCTTATTTTGATGGCTAATAAAATTTATACAATGGCTAATAAAATATATACGATAATTGTTGATGAAATTCGCGATGCTAAATACTTTTCAATTATTGCATATTTCTCACCCGATGTCTCACACTCAGATCAGTTAGTTATAATATTGCTATATGTGGACGAGGAAGGTGATATACAGGAGCGTGTGATTCTTCAAGAGGGCATGCAGGAAAATTACTGTCTGAAGTTGTAGTAGAAAAGGTAAATAAGATGCACGTGGACAATCGTACAATAATGCAACAAATATATCCGGTAAATACAATTGCCTACAAGCGCATCTCAAGAACATAAACCAATATATTGATTACATCCTTTGAGCAGCACATTCATTAAATCTAGTAGGCGTGAATGCAGTGGAAATTTACGAATGTGCATTGAATATTTTTAATTTTCTTCAAACTCTGTACAGTTTTTGTGCTTCTTCAACCAAGCGTTGGCAAAGCATTTGTGATGGCTTAAGAAGTGATGATGGGAGGACAGTTACCTTTAAGAACCTCAGTGGAACAAGATGGTCAGCCAAATCAGTTTCAACAAAAAGTCTGTACGAAAACTACGACAGAATTTATACTTTGAAGATATATCTAAGGATATTGATGCAAAGCAAACAGTAAGAATTAAAACTACTGCTTTGATGAATAAAATGACAACGTTAGATATTGCTTTTATGACAGTGTTTTGGTATAAAAGTTTTGATGATTTGATGCTACAAGTGCTAAGCTTCAAGAAAAGAACCTTAATTTGTCTACTGATGTAAAGTTTATCAGTTCTCTGAAGAATATGTAAATTCACTATGTAAAGAATTCGATAGAATCGAAATTCAAGCTCATCAGCTTTCAGATATAGT